GGAGAGAAGAAAAAAAATTTTTGTAGCCTAATATGAGTATGACTTTAATGTCCTCTTTTAGCTTCGTGCCTTTAAAGCTGCTTGAGAGATTTCAAGATGCCACTGTTGGTTGTTATGCTGTGCCTCAGGATTTAATTGAATTTTTGGTCTGTTTTGTTTTTAAACTCTCTTTCCCTCTCCACACTTGTTTCCTCTTTTAAATGACGATTTGCATCCTGTGTTACTACAGTGTGGTCCAAATCAGAAAAAATAATTCAATAGAAAAGGGGCAAGATTAAAACTTTAAAAAGTAAGGTCGTAAATGGGTGAATTGGAGGTTTGGGAGGAATATCTGGATGCCTGGAGGTGGTGCTGAGGAGAGACATTGTTCTTGGTTTCCCTGTTGGCAGAAAGAAGGAGCTGGTCACCATTTTCCTTACCACAGAGATGACTATTACTGGCATATTTCCTCTAGATATTGCCTCCCTCTCTCTACCCTCATTAGTGGCTAATTAATTGTCTGTGGACTATGGAACCCCGGGGTCTTAGCAGGATTAATGAATTGTTACTCTCCATGGAATGGGAGTCCTGGGATCCCTCCCTCTAACTCCTCACCATGTCTGCCTCTTACCTCTAATGCCAAAATAGAGGCAACTTCTTCCCAGACTGGTGGGAAGATTGTTGGCACACAGTTCCATAGCAAAAAGGTACCTCTGACTTCCCTTTGTTTTATCTTTCTGGCAAAAATATGCTGGGCTGTGGGTGGTGGGTTCTGCAACCAGTTCATTTGGGTTCAAATATCAACTCTGGTGCTTACTAATCAAACTGCCTTGAAAAGTTATTTAACCTCTCCTTGCTTCAATTTCATCTTATTCAAAGGAAGATAATACATGCAGTTGTTATGAGGGACAATCAGAGGTGTGCTGGTAATATTCAACAACAGGCCAGGGGAGAGGAAAACAGAACCCTGATTTGTAATGTAAGTCAGTTTCCATAGTGGAAATATTCCCGACTTGGCTATTTGCATTGGGAACCAGCTAATAGTGGTTTAATAGCTAGCTCACAAAATCCCTGTAAATTTAGAAATCAACAGCAGGTATGAGCAGGCTTCAACACATCACTTCCATATGCAATGCTGAGAAAATGCCTGAGAATAAGTATTGTTGTTGTTGTTAACACTGTATAAGATTTCCGAGGCTATACATCTTTACGGGAGCAGAAAGCCTCATCTTTCTCCCACGGAACAGCTGGTAGTTTCAAACTGCCCACCTTGCGTCTAGCAGCCCAACTCATAACCACTATGCTAACAGAGATCTAACCTTGCACTCAAAGGTGCCCTTTCCTCTTTAGTTTAGGTTTTGTTTTCCTCTGATATCCAAATGTATGCTGTTGTTGTTGTTAACTACCATTGAGTTGGCCTTTGACTCATGGCAACCCCATACACAGTGGAAATAACCCCAATGCCCATTTCTGCACCATCCCCACAATCGGTTTCAGATCAGACTGCTGTGATCCATATGGTTTTCATTGGTTGATTTTCACAGGTGGTCAGGCATTTCTTCTTAGTCTGTCTTAGTCTGGAATCTCTGTTGAAACCTAGTCAGCAACATTGCAACACATAAGCCTACTCAGACATTCAAGAGGTGCATTGGCTGGGAATCAAGTCTGGGGCTCAAGCATGGGAGACAAGAATTCTACCACTAAGCCACCAAAGGCCCTACAAGTGTAGGCTCAGTGTCATTTGAGAGCCTTAACATAGGTGGTCTGACTACAGAGCACCCAGGAAATGTTTGTCTGATTGAGGGTATGTAGAAAGTGTGTGCTTCCCTTTTGAGACATCAGTCCCACATGTCCTCAATAGTGAGCACCAGATTTGGAGTTAAACAGGGTCTGAAATCCTGGAGTTGTTTCACTTGTTACGTGGGTAATGTTAGACGAATTGCTTAATCTCTCAGAGATTCTTCATTTTTCTATAAATTTGGGATAATATCTACTTTTCAGTGTTGCACAACTTTGTGAATTTATTTGTTGTTTTTATTAAATGCTTTTGAGCCCGTTCTGACTCATAGTAACCTGTATAGTTTCTGAGGCTATAAACCTTTGCAGAAGCAGAAAGCCTCATCTTTCTCCCATGGAGTGACTAGTGGGCTCAAAGCACCGACCTTGTGGTTCACAGTCTAGTGCTCATCCTACAGAGCCATCACAATTCCTATGAACCTACTAAAAACCATTAAACTATGCATCTTAAAGGATTAATTTTACGGTATATAACTGACATCTCAAAAAAGAGACTGATCAAACATTCAAAATATCAGAATAGTGGTTATGTCTTATGGGAATCGGTGGTAAATAGAAGCGATGAGGAAGAGGCATATAGGAGATGCTAAGACATTTGTAACATTTGCTCAGTTCCTTAACCTGCCCAATGGGCATATGAGATGTTGATTTTATTATTCTTTAAACTGCAGAGATTGTCTTTACTCACACATTTGCTTAAATACATAACAAAATTGTTGTTAAATACTTTAATATCTTATATGGGGAAACAAATGAAAGGAAAAGTAGGAAGAACAAACGCAGAAATTTCTGACAAACACAAAATGATAATAGACCCAGTGAATGGGAGATTCTCATGCCTTAAACCCCCAGGGCACTTCCTGCCAACTGTACCACCTTCTTACTTGTGGGCACCCCTGCTCCCTAAATGTTCTTCCTGATGTCTTTGAAGAGAAGAGAAACCCTAGTCCTTGCCTCTCACTGCCAGAATAGCTGCAGCCTCCATGCTGACCTCTGAGCTGCCTCTGTCCCCCAATACTTCCCTCTTCCATAGAGAAAAAAATCTAGTTACCTCTTCTATACATCCACCCAAATTGGTCCTTCACCTTACAGAGCTTTTTCTCTCATTTACCCAGTACCTTGCTACCACTGAGCCATTAGATTTTGTAGTCTTTTGATATCGTTCTTATGAAATTCTCCCCTCCTACCTACAAGCTTCCCATGGCAGTGACAGAAACTGTGAAACAATTCTTCCAACCAGGACATCTGGTTCAGCAAACAAGCTGATAATGAGCCCAGGACAATAGAGCTGATCTCTCTGTGAGAGAGGATGCTTGACACAAAAGAAAATCTAGAATAGGTAGAATGTTCTGTCTCTGATAAATTTCCTTGCAAATAAAGAATTACAAAACAGGATGTAACTACTTCTACAAAATTCATCCCTACCAAGAGAAAATTCTTGACTCTGTAGTCAGAACCAACTCAATGGCACTTAACAACAACCATCACAACAACAATAGAGTAACATGGACTCCTGGTGTGGTGCTACAGGATAAAACACTCAACTCCAAAGTCAGTTTGAACTTCAAGGTTAGCGATTCAAACTCACCAGCCACTCCTCAGAAACCCTATACAGGGTCACTATGAGTTGGACCCAATGAGACAGCACTTAAGAACAAAAACATAGAGTAACTTATAAACATAAATTTCTCCAACAAATAAATAAAGGACCATACAACACTTGGAGTCCTGGTATGATACTATAGGATAACCATGGGACTGCTAACCCGAAGGTTGGTGGTTCAAATCCACCAGACACTTCTCGGAAACTCTAGGGTCACTGTGAGTCAAAACCACCTCGACAGCATGTAACAGCAATACAACACTTACACAGGTCTCAGAACACAAAACCAAACCAAAACTTATTGCTGTCAAGAATATTCAGAGTCATGGTAACCCTACATAGTGACATTTAATAAATGTGTACTGAATGAATAAATGAATCAGTTAATGAATCCAAATGTTGGCCTCCTTTATCCTCGCTCAGAAAGTGAGAGGTTATCAGAGACATCCAACTCTTTCTCAACACATTCTTGGTGAGTTCTTATAAAACAAGATGGAATACACTTGACTGACCACTCTCCTCCCTCTCTAGGGTCTGAAAGAACAGACCATGGTCAACCAGAGCTCCCCAGTGGGTTTTCTCCTTCTGGGCTTCTCTGAACACCCAGGACTTGAAAAGATTCTCTTCGTGGTTGTCTTGACTTCCTACTTCCTGACCCTGGTGGGCAACACACTCATCATCCTGCTGTCTGTGCTAGACCCCAGGCTCCACTCTCCAATGTACTTTTTTCTCTCCAACCTCTCTTTTCTGGATCTCTGCTTCACCACAAGTTGTGTCCCCCAGATGCTGTTCAACCTCTGGGGCCCAAAGAAGACCATCAGCTTCCTTGGTTGCTCTGTCCAGCTCTTCATCTTCTTATCTCTGGGGACCACTGAGTGCATCCTCCTGACAATGATGGCCTTTGACCGCTATGTGGCTGTCTGCAAACCCCTCCACTACGCCACCATCATCCACCCCCGCCTGTGCCGGGAGCTGGCAGCTGTGGCCTGGGTCATTGGGCTGGTGGAGTCAGTGGTCCAGACGCCGTCCACCCTCCGCCTGCCCTTCTGCCCACACCGGCAGGTGGATGATTTTGTGTGTGAGGTCCCAGCTCTAATACGACTCTCCTGTGGGGACACCACCTACAATGAGATTCAGATGGCCATTGCCAGTGTCCTCATCTTGGTTGTGCCCCTCACTCTCATCCTTGTCTCCTACAGTGCCATTGCCCGGGCAGTGCTAAGAATCAACTCTGCCAAAGGGAGGAGGAAGGCTTTGGGGACCTGCTCTTCCCATCTCATTGTGGTCACCCTCTTCTACAGCTCAGTCATTGCTGTCTACCTCCAGCCCAAAAATCCCTATGCCCGAGAGAGGGGCAAGTTCTTTGGTCTCTTCTACGCAGTGGGCACTCCTTCACTTAACCCTCTCATATACACCTTGAGGAACAAGGAGGTAAAGAGGGCATTCATGAGGTTGTTGGGGAAGGATGTGGACTCCAGACAAAGATGAGGGTTTGCTGCTAAATGTGCTTTAAAACTGAGATCTTTTATGTATTTATCAGTAAGTTGGCTTTCTCCCCCACTGCCTTCTGCACCCTTATCATGTCCCAGCAAAAGGTGACTGTGCGTGTGCGAGTATCTGAGTGTGCATGCGTGTATGATGCATGTATGCATATGCATGTGTGTATGATGCATGTGCATATGCATGTGCGTGTGTGTGTAAGAGACAGAAATTAAAGACTAGGATAATGAAAGGAAGGTTTTTTGTTTTGTTTTGTTTGTTTGCTAACTACCATCAAGAAGTATAGTGCTGTATGATCAGCACTGGGTTGCTAACCACAAGGTTGGCAATTCAAACCCACCAGCTGCTCTTCAGAAACCCTATACAGGGTCCCTATGAGTTGGAAGTTAACAACAGTAACAACAATTAAGAAGTCAGCCCCAACTTACGCCAACCCCATGCATAATGGGATAAGATTGTTGTGACCCACAGTGTTTTCATCGGCTAGTTTTGTGGCCTTTCTTCCTACTCTGCTGAAACCTGCTCTGCTTGACAGCAACAGGCAAGCTTCTGTCCCCAGACAAATAGTTATGCATGAGGAGCAACGACCAGAAGTCAAACCCCAGTTTCCTGTATGCACAGCAAAACGTCTACCAAAAAAACCACTAAGTACATCATTGGATCAAATTTGATATTTTCTCTTCATAACGATCTTTACCTCCATGATTGTGCCTCTCATTTTGTCATCTCCATGTCTAAGTCCCTTGTGATATTATCTCTATTTCTTTGTCTCCATTTCTAATCCCTGCCATATTTTCTTTGTATCTTTCTCAGATCTGTTTCTACCTCCTTTTATGTCTCCTATTTGGCATTCTTGTTCTATTTTAACCCCTTAAGGAATTCTGGTATGGCTTGTGGGCTATAATGGGTGCTGGACTGCAAAGCCATTTGAACTGCAAGGTTGGCGGTTCAATCTTACCAGCAGCTTCTCAGAAACCCTATGCAGGGTTGCTATGGGTCAGTACTGACTCGACGGCACTTAACAACAACAACAAAATAGCAGCAGTAGAAAGGGAAAGTTAAAGTTGAGATAAATTCAGAAATTCACTCAGGAAAACAGAAGTGATAAAACTGAAACCCAAGCCCCATAACTTCCAATCAGGCAATCAACCTCTCAAGTACACACTGTTTTTTTCACATTGTAATCATTTATCCCAATGTCCTTAGGTTTTACACCAAAACAAGACCCTAAGGAGAAAGCTTAACTTACTTAGGCCTAGTATTTTTTCACTTACAGTGCCTGCGAATAGCAAGCAAAGGAGAAGCCAGGCAAGAAAGGGACAAAACTTTACTTACAGGCTGGCAGGGCAACCTGGACAATGGGGACATTAGTGCCATCTGCTGGTCAGGAAAGGAGCTCTGGTGCGTAGCGGTTACGAACTGGGCTGTGAACCACAAAGTCAGCAGTTCGAAACTACCAGCTGTTGTTTCACTGGAGAAAGACGAGGCTTTCTGCTCCCGTAAAGATTTACAGCCTCAGAAACCCTGTGCAGGGTCACTATGGGTCGGAACCAACTCCACAGCACATAACAACAACAACTGGTCAGTTGTGACATCGTAGCTGACATCCTGGACATTTGGCTTAAGTAAACCTTCTCCACTGTCATTTATACTGTAAGCTGTTCAGAGGTCCTCCTGTAGCTAGTGCTGTAGGATAAGCAAGTTCAGCGGTTCAAACCCACCAGCCACTCTTTGGAAACTCTATATGGGGTTACTATGATTCAAAACTGACTTGATAGCACATAACAACAACATTTCCCCTAAGGAGTCCTGAAGTGGTGTTGTAGGATAAGTACTGCTCTGTTAACCACAGGGTTGGTGGTTCAAACCCACCAGCCTATCTATACAGTTGGAACTGACTCAATGGCTCACAATCACCACCACTAGGTCAGAGGCCATAATTATGGTTGTTGTTGTTAACTGCCATCGGGTTCCGACCCATAACGACCCTGTATAGGGTTTTTGAGGAGCAACTGGTGAGATTGAACCGTCAACCTTACAGTTCAAACCAACTTTGCAGTCCAGCGCATTAACCTACAGCACCACACCGGGACTCCATTATTGTTATTAGAAAGTACTTATATAGTACCTGGTGTGGCTCTGTGGGTTAATGTGCCAGACTGCACAGCCGTTTGAACTGCAAGGTCAGCAGTTCAAGCTCACCAGCAGCTCCTGGGAAACTCTATACAGGGTCGCTATGGGTCAGAACCGACTCAACAGCACTTAACAACAACAACAACATATAGTACCAACCATATGCCAGGTATGATTTTAAATAATTTACACACATTAATTTACTTCATTCTCATAATAACATCATGAAGCAGGTATTATTCTTTTTTGCTCTCTCTCAGATGGAGAAACTGTAGCGTTTAAACAGCAGATTGAAAATGTCAGAGTCAGGATTTGGACTCAGAAGGACCACAGACTCAATTGTATAGCCCTGCATTTTAGTAGAAATAGTGACTCCCTAGCTCAAGTGAGAAGCCTCAATTTCTCAACAAACTTGAAGAAATACTCCCGATTTGGAAATACATATAACTTGATCCTTCAACTGAGGGAGTTTTTGCTTCAAGGAATAAGAGTTTATCAGATGCTTTGAAACTCCATTGAGAAAACACAGTCCTCTCGGAAAGAGCCCTGGTTGTTGTTGTTGTTGTTGTCAAGTGCCATCAAGTCGGTACCAACTCATAGCAACCCTATGCACAGCAGAATGAAACACCACCTGATCCTGGGCCAACCTCACTTCTGTTGAAATGCTAGAGTCCATTGATGCTGCCACTTGGCCAATCCATCTCGTTGGGGGGTCTTCCTCTTTTTCTCTGACCCTCCACTTTACCAAACATGATATGCTTCTCCAGCAACTGGTCCCTCCTGACAATATATCTGAAGTATGAGAGACAAAGTTTGGCCATCCTGGTCTCCAAGGAGCACTCTGGCTGCACTTCTTCCAAAATGGATCTATTGATTCTTTTGGCAATCCATGGCACTTTTAGTATTCTCCTCCAACATCATAACTCAAAAACATCAATTCTTGGTCTTCCTTATTCACTGTCCAGCTTTCTCATGCATATGAGGTTATTGAAAATACCATGGCTTGGGTCAGGCGCACCTTAGTCCTCAAGCTGACATCTTTGCTCTTCAACACTTTAAAGTGGATTATGAGCTGGGCTGCTAATTGCAAGGTCAGTAGTGTGAATCTACTAGTAGCTGCATGGGAAAAAGAAGATACTCTGCTTCTATAAGCAATTACAGCCTTGGAAGACTCCTACAGACTCGCTATGAGTTGAAACCGACTTGGTGACACACAGCCACCACAAGTCTTCTTGGAAGTTAAGTTACAGCTCATTGTGTGTGTTTCTGGTTTAGTTCCTCCAGGAGATTCCAGGCTGCTAGAAAATCAGGAGTCCTGGTGTGGTGTGTGGGTTTTACGCTGCACTGCAAAGTCAGTTTGAACCGCAAGGTTGTCAGTTCAAGCTTACCAGTCGCTCCTTGGAAACCCGATACAGGGTCACTATGGGTTGGAACCAACCTGATGGCGCTTAAGAACAAAAACAACAGAAGACTAGTACAAAGATTTTACAGAAAACTGATAACCAGTTCTATGGATGAATGAGTGAATGAATGAATTAACCTCATTCTTCAAAGAATGTGTAATGGGTTCTGTGGATCCTGGTCCCAGATGTGATGCCTCAGCTTTTCCATGGCAACTACAGCTATACCAAATTCTCTTTGGGTACATGCTGATAAAATAAGGAAGAAAACAGAAAATCTGAGTTTTAATTCCAGTCCCAACACAAACCAACTTTAATTCAACATTTACTCTGGCACCAGCACACATTAGTGGCATTTGAATTTTTTTAAAACAGATTCTAATGAAACTAAAATAATTGTACTTGTATTAATAAGAGAACTTGTCTGCAGTCATCCACTGATTACATAGGCATGTTGTAAATACATTGTTTGGAATAAAGTCATGTATGTGTGAACTGGAACCCTAATAAACAAAACTTTTTTACTTATCCTTGTAAAAATTGAATTGAATACACTGAAAAGAGGATTCCCCTACAGCTGCTTCAAGCCTACTTGATGTAGGTCACTGGAGAGTGGGCACTTATCCATTCGGACACACCAATCAAGTTGGAAGCTTTTAAAGGGATCTCAGGGTTTTAGTTGACTACTCAAGCATGGGTCTCAGTTCATTCTGAAGAGTTCACTGAATGGTGAACAGACACCGACACACAGCACCCAGCTCCTCATGCACCCCTCTAGCCCCCAGAGAAGCAAGCCTTCCTAGATACTTCAATCAGACTAATTCCCCCTCCACACATACCCTAAGAGTCCACACACGCATGTTGCCTGAATGCTATTTCTGCACATGTGGCCTTCAAAGGGAGGGGCCACAGCTTCTTAGATTTTAAAGAGTCAGATCTTGGCCATCTTGGTTCCAGAGTTTGAGGCTGCCATTAAAGTGTGCCAGACAAAGGAATGGGACCAAAGCTGAAGGGGCAGAGAACAGGGACTACTGGGGGCCAAGAGTGTGACTCAGATGGCCATCTAAAGGCAAGGGAGCAGAGTTGCCACCCCAACGGGCCTGGATTTTAGAATTTAAACCCAGGGCCTAGGAGTCTCCATCCACAATCCAGAGGTCATGGCCAACACCCAGAGTCTGGAGTATGGGACCATTGCTTCTATGGTCTCAGAGAACTGAGGATTCTTTTCAAGTCTTGGAAGTTAATGCAATGTATTCTGCTGGGTTTTGCATTTGATTGGTAACTTTTATCCCTTCTTTCCCTTCATTTCCTCCCAATTGTAATGAAAATGTCTTCCTTGTGCCTCTTGTACTTTGAAAACAGATAAATTGTAACCCAGATTTTACAGATTCAAAGATGAAGAGGAAATTTGAACCAGGATGGAATATTTGATTTAGATGTTTCAGAAGATGTGATTTGGACTTGGAGTTTATTTACGACTTCTGGGACATTGTTTGGGACGAATGTGTTTTGCATGTGACAAAGACATG